TGGACCAACTACGTCTGTTTAATTTGTCAACGATGATGACCTCGAGAAGGAGTCCGCTGTAGATTCTCTGCCGTCCAGATACTTATATAGGAGCGAAAATGGCGGAAATAAGGACTAAGGATATAGAGGAACTCCTCACGTTTTTCGGGAAGAGCACATACAGAGCAAGAGAAAGTAGTGCCACGGTGGGTTGAAATGTAACATGTGGTGTGTGTAGTTGGCAGTGGTGGGCGGTGCCATTATAATTCTTGGAGGAAAAGTCCGTAAAGGAGTTCTCCCGGTAAAAGGGATGCGTCCTTCATTCCATCCTCGAGTGTTGCCTGAACCCGGAATGATGCTAGATGGAGGGAGGGATGCTACTTGGCCTATATGAAAGGAGGAGAATAAATGTCCATTTGTGTGAATCTGGAAGGAAATACCGTGACTGTTCTGTTTGTCTGTGCATATGGTTTTCTTATGATGCAAAGTAAATGTGAAATGCTGTAAAGAAATATACCCATTTTCAGTTAAAATTTAGTAAAGGAATATAAAAATCATGTGAATAAAATAGAAAGTAAGAGTCTATTGGTAAGATATTGTGTGTGAACTGGTAGTATGATATTAATGCTGTTAAGAATATAATACTAACAAATGTAGATTATGTATATGTAAAGACTTATTTTCGTATGATGTGTGTTAATCGTGTCATCCAGAAAGCTTTAACTATTTTCCAAGTGTATTCTGAAATTTTTTATTTGCTATGAAAAAGTGCTGTTTTATTATCCTTTCCAAAAAGAAATGGTATTTGTTAATGAGAGCAATATACCCTCCAGAGATGAAGTCCCAATACCAGATATGGTTATATAGCATAACTTTTGTTATAATAGATATATTAATACTCTCATGTTTACCAACACTCTTCACTTGGTTTGTAATCTCTATTCTTATGTTTATTATTCTTATAGTCATTTCATTTCTATCATCCATGATAGTTTGCTTGTGCATTATCTAATATTTGTCTGCTCTCTTTTTCGTCACTCTTGTTGCTACATCACATTTCTCCATTTTGGTGATTGTCCATAGAAAATTGCAAGTAGCTAGGCTATGGGCTTCATGCTTCACCCTCTGGCATAGGAAATTTGATTTGATATGAATTTGGCATTGTAGAGCTGATTCTAAAATTACGCATACTTTTTGGAGGGTATGCTTAATACCTAAATATACTGTTAACCCCTTAATGATGGGTGAAGGAAAAAAAAAATCTACACTCTGGAGATTAATGCCAACGAGCCAACTTCGAGTGTGAAAGTTCTGTACATCAAGCTGCGCCCACAGTTCGTAGCACTTTGGCGCATCACTACAACGTACAGCTGCACCACAGATTGAGTGGTTTGTTACAACGACTCAGTGTGAGACCCGTCAGCAAGGGGTTAAAGAACTTAGACATACTCTCTCTCTCCCTCTCTCTCTCCCTCTCTCTCTCCCTCTCCCTCTCCCTCTCCCTCTCCCTCTCCCTCTCCCTCTCCCTCTCCCTCTCCCTCTCCCTCTCCCCCTCCCCCTCCCCCTCCCCCTCTCCCTCTCCCTCTCCCTCTCCCTCTCCCTCTCCCTCTCCCTCTCCCTCTCCCTCTCTCTCTTCTCCCTCCCTCCTTCCCCCTCTTCTTCTCCCTTTCCCTCTTCCCCTTCCCTCCTTCCCCCTCCCTCCTTCCTTCCCCCTTTCCCCCTCCCTCCTTCCTTCTCCCCTTCACTCCCCACTCCCTCTCCCCTGTCAGCTCCCACTCTGTCCTATTTTTGCTCTCTCCCCCTCTTCCTTCTTTCCCCCCATCTTTTATTGCTTCATTTTCATTTTTACCAATTATGAGGCCAAAGCATGATGTTTGTTCCTTTTGGTGTACATCTTTATACCAATAAGATTATAAATCAGTAAATCAGTTAGTCATGTATGAAGTTGTTGGGTTATAAGCCATAACATTATGGTAATAGGTGAAGATAATATTTTCATGAAGGAAGATGTTCTGTTTCACTATGGTAGGAATTGAATAACTTCACTATTACGGTCGTGCAGTAGGGAATCCATAGACTTGATACAGCACTTTGTTAGATATAAAATGAGAGTTCATATATTTACATTTTAATTTGTGCTGACAGACAGAAGAGAGAGTAGAATTTCTTTTTTCCTCTGTCTGAATGACAAACAAATTTGTGTTAGACTCCCTATTTCTTTTTTATTGTTTCCCCTCCTTCCCCTTTCTTAAGTTGAGTATAATTTTTGGTGTGAATTGATATGATCACTTGAAAACTAGACAAAAATGCATGTGCCAAAAGCAGGGAGAGAGTACAGCCAACGCAAGATTTTCAAGATTATCAATTTTCACATCTGTGTTCACAAACTATAACCAGAGACAGGACATCAATCTGTTGATATTGATAAATTGGTGATATTGATAAAATTTATATATATATATATATATATATATATATATATATATATATATATATATATATATATATATATATATATATATATATATATATATATATTAGTATATACATTTTTTTTCTTTTTCATTTATAGTCCCAGTTAAATACAAATAATGATATGTTATAACAAAAGTGTGTTTGTGTGTGTATTTGTCAAGATGTGATTGATAAGAGTGTATTGATTCAGAAAATTAGTGTGCTTAACATTTGAAGGCAAGATGCCCTATAATAAATTGATAAACTATTTGATATAAACCCTGTGAAAATCACAATGTAGAAATTCAACTTTAGACATAAAGTACAGGTCATTAATACATGACTCTCCCATCACATGAATACCACTTTGTAGATGTATGAGACAGATCAAATCAGTTTGCCAAAGCGTGTTAAATAAGGAACTTTTGTTATGAAAATTGTCTTGTCTGAATCATACAGATGTCGACACTTTTTTCCCCCCCAGGTATTACAACAATATTTCCATACTTGGAATCTGAAATAGCTAACCAAGGCACTGAATTAGTGGCTGACATTTTTTTCTGAAAAGTATTCATTGTCATCTATATTCAATTTAGTAGAAAAGAATAAGACATCTAGAGAATTCTGTGTACCCTTTCATCACTACATATGTGTACTTTGTGTACTTTAGTGTCGAGATTGTGGTTCAGTAAAGGGAAATTTTGATGGACATAGTGTATACATATATATTTTAAACAGAAAAATGTATGTCCCCCAGAGTAAAAATTTGAACACCAATGGGAAATCCTCTCTGCTACATTAATATTCCTTTTGCTACTTGCAGACGGAGCAGATAATAAAGAAGTGCCTGGAATTATGGAAGCTAGATTACAAATGCATGGTAAGTTAAACTGATGTATTACAGAATTTTCAGGTATTCTTTATGATATCTTAAGTGTAAATCATATTTTTTAGGGAAGGGTGATAATGCTATTGTTTATTCTGTATTAATATGTTTTTGTATGGTAGTTTTGAAAGTAAATTAATTTCATGGAGTGATGTATTCTGTTAACCCTCATAATTATCATCTCAGGTCGTGCCCAATGTTGGAGGAGAGCTCTGCAACAGCTACCCAAACCGTCTCTTCATACCAGAGTGTGAGTTAGGTCCAGAAGGGTTAGAGCCACCAGAACTTCTGTGTCCTCTCACTCTAACAACGCCCTCGCCACTCAATCTGGCCTCGCCTTCCATGGTTCCTGGAGGCAGTGCGCCCTCATTTTCATCCGTTGTGTCAGGAGCCACTTCCGCATCAGTCTCGGTGAATGGTCATCCTGGGAGCTCACCCTCGCTAAGGAAGGGGTCATTGCCTGGTAGGGATTGAATCTGGTTCTTGTGTATGTGATGTACCCTTGTGGTTTCTTTTATAACCAGGGATGAGAATATCCCACAGATTTGCAGCTTCACATGGTTTTCAAACCAAGCTGGCCATCTGTCATCAGATTACTTAAAAATTCAATGATGGAATAAGTTTTTGTGTTTTCAGAATGTCAAACTCAAAATGCCTACAGATGCTTCCCCTTAGCAAATCTTCAGACTATTCATATATGTGCATTTTCATACTGTATTTGAATAGATATAGGGTTTTGACACCTTTTTTCTGCATACAAGAGTGCGATATGTATTTTTAGAACATTTGATTAGTAATGAAGAAAAATCTTCTATTTTATATATTCCTTGTCCTTTATATATTATTATTTCCTTATCAGAGGGCAGCAAGAGTGTGGGAGAAGGGACAACAGAAAACCAGAGTGATGGGTCAAGACTGCGGGAGTACATTCTAAAAGCAAAATTTGCCCGTTGTCGTGCGAGATTTCCAATCCCTGTAATACTTTACAAAGGCAATTACATATGCAGGTGAGCATTTTGTACTAATATAAACTTGAATTTCAGAGTACTACTTAATTTTTTTTTTGTTATATGGCAGAGAGTAGCAACATACTGAATGATTTTTATTTGAACCTGAAAAAAAAGACATACATAATGTTCTGTGACCCACTGATGCTGGGTGAGCATGTATTTGTGGTCACTTTTTACTCTTTATTTTGTTAACCTTGTTTATATATAGATGGCTCGTGAAGTGCATATTCCAAAGGGTCAGGTACTAGGCCTACCTGACCTCATCTGTTTGTCCCATTTCTTAATTTTTGAAAGGAAAGTTTAAAATGTTTTATTACTGTTGTTATTGTTGATAATGTAATGTTCAGTAACTATTATGATAAGAATGATAATTGTAATACAATTTTAATGGTAATACTAATAGAAATCTCTCTCTCTCTCTCTCTCTCTCTCTCTCTCATATATATATATATATATATATATATATATATATATATATATATATATATATATATATATATATATATTATATATATTATATATATATGATTTTTTTTTTTCTTCTTTTTCTTCTTGTTCTTGTTCTTGTTCTTCTTGTTCTTCTTGTTCTTGTTCTTCTTATTCTTGTTCTTGTTCTTGTTCTTGTTCTTGTTCTTGTTCTTCTTCTTCTTCTTCTTCTTCTTCTTCTTCTT